GAGGAGAACATCGTGTGGCTTGAGGAACTCGTATCGTGACCAAGATGTGATGTCCACCTACATTTCTCTCAGGGAGACGAGGTTGAACGCGCGAGTTAGAACGGACAAAATATCAGAAACACTCAATGACTGTACTCCTCCTCCTCCTCCTCCTCCTCCTCCTCCTCCTCCTCCTCGTTCCAATCAGAGTTGGGCCCCCGGCTCCCATACATTACTTCCCCATGTGATCACTCAGATAACTGATTATACACACAGAGAGAGAGAAAAGGCACTTGATAGAGTTGGGGAAGAGAAAGGGGTTGGCGGTGGTGGTGGTGGACTGCACTCAGCACACTGCTGGCGAGACTTCCATCACCCAAGGGGGGGACGGGGGGCGTAGATCCGTAAAGGGATGGACGTGTAGAAGCACAATATGATCTGGTCAGTACGTTTGAGCAGTCTGACGAGACAATGGTGCACTTGGTTGGCATCACAAATATTCATTTCGGTTCCAGAGCTATATTTGGGTCAAACACCATACCGTCCCAGTCATCCATCGTCCCTTTGAAACAGTCTCACAGGGACGCTACATCAAGTCTGTGGATGGCGGACTAAACTCATAACGATGGCGCTGCAAAGGAGGTCAAATATCAAAAGCAACACCAAGAGTTTGGGGTCGACACGGAAATCTCAGAATGGGAACGGTGGTTTAGTGCCAATCAAGCGGCCCAATCCCCAAGCCTCAGCTGGCAGTGAGGCATGACTTGTGCTTTGTCATAGCAAGGGAACTGTAGCAAGCAGCATCAGAAGGCTATCACGCAAGATGTCTAGTAGAAAGCATGAACATGTTCAAGTCTTATCATGAGATGATCTTCCTATTACTACTTGAGCAGTAAGCCGCCCTCGACAGGGCCATGTCTGATATACACAGTCATCTAATGCATTTTACGACCTGTCGAGCTTTCGACTTGAGCCATCCATTCTTGCTCATGGAAGAGCATCAAAAGTGACTGGGACCCCACAAGGATCTCTATTGCAGTCCACGACACCAATCATTGTGTCGTCTCCGATTCCGTCTTAACTTTTTGTTCAACCTGATCCACGTTTGACCATGCCTGAAGAGATATCGCACACAAGCCCCAAACCGTTATGGGCAAATAAAAGAAAACACTCAAGGAAAATGAAAACAGCCGTGGAGGAATACCAGACTGAAGGAGACACAGATACGTGTCCCGGGTACCTCGAGTCTAAAACCCCCGTCTACGTGAACGCCGATTTTGCATGAGAATTGCGCAAGTTGCCGCCGCATGATGAGTCACCTCGCCTTGAGGATGGTCCGGTTGGCAAGGTTTTTACCAACGACGAGCGCCTCCTAGAGGAGCGTTGTTAGCGTTGTCTGTGAAGAAAGTCCGGTCAGCGATTAGGCCACTAGACTTTGGGAGAATGGAAAACACGTACTACCGCCACCGCCGCCACGGCCACCACCACGGCCACGGCCCCAGCCGCCGTAGCGACCGCCGCCGCCGCCGCCACCGTAGCGGGTCATCTCAGCGAGACGGGGATCAATCTCCTGCTTGGCCTCTCTGAGGACGTTGACGAGGTCACGAGCCTGCTTGGAGTCTGGGAGAAAGTTAGCGCTTTGATCAAATATGGCAGGTAAGGGGGAGAACTGACTGTCAGTGGTGAAGAAGGTAACGGCGGTACCCTTGGCACCAGCACGACCGGTACGACCAATACGGTGGATGTAGTCCTCCGAGTTGTTGGGGTAATCGTAGTTCAGCACGTGAGTAATGTTGCGAACATCTTGAGCAAGGGGTTAGCAGACGCCTCACGGTTTGTATAGCAACGTTCCAGCCGGGAACCACGTTTGTTTGATAAATATATCAGGCTGTTTTCACTCCGTCGAAGACAGGGCAGTCCATATGCGTCAAATGCCATCCTGGAAAGTTCAATGTACCGGGTCCTCGGGCTTGGGGAATCTTGGGGACAGCTTGAGCGAATCAAGAATTGCCACATCCACGCTTGTACCATAGGCAAATGGGAGGCACAAGGGTGGAACAGCGAGTATAGCGAGCCAACGGCTGCACACCAGACCAAGACTCCACACAGGAGCAGAGAGAACCAAGGAAACACGAATGCATCAGGCAAGAGTGCGCAAGTAAGAGAGCCCCTAGACATAAGAGTAAAGTACAGCACAAGGCTGCTGGAAGTTGCCATGTAGATTGGAGGGGAATGATACTCACCAATACCACGCGAAGCGACGTCGGTCGCGACCATGATGGGAGACTTGGCAGTCTTGAACTGGTCGAGGACCCAGTCACGCTCGTTCTGCTGCTTGTCGCCGTGGATGGCTGCGAAATGTTAGCTAGAGTACAGAGGATCAAGAAAAGAATGAGACAACATACAAAGCGCGGGCCATCCGTCCTGGCGAAGGAAACGGGTGATCTCGTCAGCGACACGCTTGGTGCCAACGAAGATGAGAACCTTGTTCTCCTTGTTGTCCATCATCTTCTCGAGGTGCTTGATCATGCGATCACGCTTCTCGCTCTCGTTGACGACCTCGACAATCTGGGTAATGCGGTGGTTGGCAGCCAGGTCCATGGAACCGATGTTGACCTGGATGAAGTCGGAGAGGAAGTCGGACGCAAGAGCGCGAACCTCCTTGGGCCAAGTGGCGGACCACATGAGAGTCTGACGGTCAGGGCGAATCTGGCCAATAATCTTGCGGATTTGGGGCTCGAAACCCATGTCCAACATGCGATCAGCCTCGTCAAGAACAAGGTAGGTGACGCGACGCAGGTTGGTCTTGCCGGCCTCGAGCATGTCAATGAGACGTCCGGGGGTGGCAATGCAGACCTCGACACCGCGGGAGAGATCACGGATCTGGGGACCCTTGGGGACACCACCGTAAACGCAGGTGTTGCGGATGCGGGAAGACTTGCCGAACTTGGAAATCTCCTGCTGAATCTGGACCGCGAGCTCACGGGTGGGGGCGAGGATCAGGACAATAGGGCCATCGCCGGGGGCCAGCAGAGGCTGGGCGTTGATGTGGACGATGGCGGGAAGGCAGTAGGTAAGCGTCTTTCCGGAACCAGTCTCGGCAATACCGACGACATCGCGACCGGAGAGAGCCATGGGCCAACCCTGGGACTGAATGGCAGTAGGAGCGGGGAAGCCCTGAGCCTTGACCTCGTCCATGACATATCTGGGGAAACCAGCCTCGTCGAAGGTCTCGACGGGCTTGGGGACATCATTGCCAGCAATGGCAATCTGGTGCTTGCGACGGAAGGACTCGACATCCTCTGAGCTGCGGTTGGCCACCTCCTCGTGCTCCTTGTAGAAAGACTTCTCGAACTTGGGCATCGTGGAAAGATCTGTGCAAGAAAAAAAAAAGTCAGTAAACGCGTTGCTGGTGTATGCTGTCGTGAATCAACTAACCCCATTCTTGTGTGCGAAGACCAGCGCCAAGGTTATTCATGCGGTCACCGCCACCGCCGAAACCACCACCGCCGCCATAGCCGCCACCACCGTATCCGTTGCTGTCACTGACCAGTTAGCAATAATGTTGACGACAGTATCAAAAAAATTATTAGATGTTGAAGCTGGCGTTGGTGTCGTTTGAGAAACCACGCTCCAAATTCGGGTTGAAGCATCGTCGCTCTACGAGCGGTGTCGCGCCAAGGCAACAGCCGCCTCGTGAACCCGGCCGACGTGTTTGAGAATAGAGTCAAAGAAATGCTTACCCGTTGGAATAGCCACCACCGCCGTAGCCACCATCGCGGCCGCCTCTATCCTGACGATCACGACCACCGCCGTAGCCACCTCCTCCGTAGCCGCCGCCGCCACGACCACCACCGCCGTATCCGCCGCCGTAGGACATGTTTGCTAGTTGCGGAGAGCGCGCGAAGTGTTTATTGTCGTGAATGGTGCTTCGCTTGCTTGAGCGATGCCAAAGGAAAGACCGTGGGGAGAGAAAGAAGACGCGAAGTGAACTCTTTTTCTGGAGCGAACCGAAAAGAGAACTGATGCGTTGAGGGGAGGGGGATGGAGGATTGTGAGATGGAGGAAGAGAGGGATGCAGATGAAAGAAGGGGAGAAAAAGAGTAGGAGGGTCAGAGGTTTTGGGGAGCGCGAGGGAAGGCGGTCCCGGGGTGAATTTTTTTCTTTGCCTGCCCAAAACTTTTCGGCGACCGCTACCAGAAGGACCCTGCTAAGGCGAAAAAGGTACGTACCCGATGCACGTGGGTCTGTTACTGCCTTTATCGCTCGGATAAGATGGTGGATCTGACTCGCGATAAGGCACCTCTGCCAAATCTGCACACTGCACACTGCAGCAGCTGCAAGGTTCTTGACTTTTTTTTTTCTGTTTTTTTTTTCTGCCGCTCTCTCTTACCTTGCTGGCTTCCATGGTGACTGTGGTACAGTGTACTTCGGTTTAGACCGGGGGGTCTCCAGCTTTTTTTTTTTTTCCAGACTTTTGCATGCGAATTGCGGATACCTGGTTTTGAATGATTGGAAATCGTTTGGCCTCGAGCGAGCTTCAGCACAAGCGGTGCAAGGGAACCCTTTGACTGCTGCTTGTTTGGTATCAGTACTAATTGGGACGGCATGCGCACCCGCGGCGGGAAGTCAAGGGAAGGAAGGAAGCACGGCGAGATGCATCAGATGACAGTGGAAGCTTCTGTTCAGTCCGACTAGTAATGCTTGGCTTTTTCTCTTGCCCGATCTAACGTCTAGCTAATTTATACTTGAAGCAAGGTGAGGAAGGAAATAATACTGTGTGAGGTAGGAGTAGAAACGTCGTCCACAATCTCTGAGGCTGTTTGAGTATCAAGATGGCCGCAAAGCGATGTAGGGGCCACCATCCTTGCCTCCATCTTGCTACAGGCCTGTCCTCTATCCATCGTCTTTTATTGAATGGCATCCGCTCCAGTTGCAGAGCCTTTCTCTGTCTACCAAACAAGAATATTCACCGACAGAATTCCATTACCAGCTTACCGGTAAACATTGCTCGTCAAAACTCACCGGTAGGGAAACATTTCCCAGAAACCAATCTCCATCTGAAACAGAGTTAGCCCAAGCTTCACCCCGCCCAACAAACATCAAAACCAACCTTTGTGCCGTGAATAAAGATCTTGATCAACCGCTCTATACTCGATGGGCTCTGCAGGGCGGCATGCCTCTCAATCAACTCTGTGATTCAAACCCCCTCAGTCAGCAAGGAACAAAACGACTCAGTCAGCCATCATGACCATGAGGGGAGGATAAACATCTCCACAAACCTGAGCCGGTCTTCACCGCCTCGACATAGTCGTCAGCGACGTAGTTCTCGATCCACTTCCAGTACGTGTTCTCCTCGCGCTTCGTCTTGACGTCGCCGTGGAGCTGCTTTGCCACGGCGCCGTATCCGAGCAGGCATGGCGCGAGGGCCATTTGCAGCGCGATCCAGTCCTCGCTGACGCCCACGTCGAGGACGTAGCGCGTGTACGCCGTGCAGGCTGTATGTGTGGTCCTTTGTCAGTCTCGCTCTCGTGTGTCTCCCCAAGGGGACCAACATCCACAAGATAAGACTTGCCTTGATGTTCCTCTGTAGCCTCGATTTCAGGCACCGTGATGCCGAAACCCTTGCAGTAGTCGATGTGCAGGCTCATCTCACGAGTTATGTGGTTGACGATTGTGGCACCCTAGATGATTCAGTACACAACCCCTCCAGAACAATGGGCAACACCTACGGCCGAGATGTCTGCTATGCTCTTCGCCTTGTAAGAAGCCAGCGCGTTGGCTCTAGCGAAGTGAACCTAAGATAGAAAATGAGTTACCAAGAATTTCCGTCGGCTATCATAGCACACGTACCAGATAGAGGTAGTCCTGGATGAGATACTGCTTGAACGACTCCATGGGCAGCGTCCCGTCTCCCATGGCCATGACGAAGGGGTGATACACAAACGTCTTCCAAACATCTTTGACATCCGGTCTCTCGAGCATGTACTCGATAAAGCGCCCACTATCGACTTTAGTCAATTCGTTGCCTATACCAGCGGTTTAAAGGAGACTTACGGTGCAAAGGGCAGCGTCTGGATAGAGTGAAAGTGATTCAGCGGACCATGCCCCTTTCCGTACCCAGGAGCAGTCTTGATCCCGGCCTCAATGTATCGACAAGCCGACTTGACAGCTTCCGGTACACCAAGACCCTTTGCCAGATTAGACGCAATAGCAGCTGCCACACAAATCAGCACTCATCATACTTAACCACGACCTCTTACCCAAACTCACAAGCTAAAGAACACCCAGTCCCGTGCGTATTCGTCGAACTCTGATACGGGCTCTGCACATGCCAAAACTCGCCGTGCCCATACAACACATCCACAACAACAGCCTTGTCCTCCTCGCTCTTCGCCACAGTCAAATCCGCCTTGAACGGCGCGTGTCCGCCCTTGACGAGCACCCACTCGGGCCCCAGCGCCTGCACCGCCTTCGCCATCGCCTCGAGGTCCCCGACGCTCTCTACCTCGACCGGCGCGTGGCCCGAGTCCTCGAGGATGAGCTTCGCCTCGGGGATGTTTGGCGTGAGGACGGTGGTGAGCTTGAGCAGGCCTTCCAGCAACGCGGCGACGGCTTCGCGAGGGAGCAGCTCTGCGCCGCTGGTCGCGATCATGACCTGTGGCAGTTTGTAAGAAACTCTGGGTTATCTATCCAAAAGTCTGCAAATGACGTGTTCATACCGGGTCAACGACGACCTTGGGGACCTTGTGCCTCTTGAGAGCCTCGACAACCGTCTCAATCGTAGCAGGCGAAGCCAGCATGCCTGATTCTGAGTTAGCTGCTTAAAGCCATGGGCCAGATACAGTCTACAAATGAAGCAAATCTCACCAGTCTTGACGACGTCCACCCCGATGTCGCCGGAACAGGCATCAATCTGCTTGAGAAGAAACTCCTGCGGCACGTGGTGAATGTCGTGCACTCCAGTCGTGTCCTGCGCCGTCAGCGCCGTGGTGGCCGTCATGGCATAGCAGCCATGCGCCGCGATGACTTTTTGGTCCGCCTCCAGGCCTCTTTGGATTGCCGCGTCAGCAAGCCCATCTCTGTATTTGCTTTCCCCAGATCTTGTTGCAGTCTGGAGATGAAGAATGTGTGTATACTCACGCTCCGCCGGAGCAGTCCGAGCCGGCAATGACAAGAACCCGTCCCTGAACCATGGTGACTAGTGTAGGGAGCAAAACGGACTAGTCAGAGATACGTTCGCCGGTTTGGGATCCTGTTTTTGGGCAAGAAAGAGTATTGATACGTGTAAGGTAGCAATCGACTCTCCGGAGCTTCTTTCCGTGCAGACGGATCGGACATCATCGGAGGACGGGGTAGGCACGGCTGGCGACGGATCGGTCGCGGGTCGAAGATGTCACTCAAGTGGGGGCGGGGCACCCTTTAGTTTTTGCTCACCTCAACTAAACGTCCGACTCGCAAAACTCTTCGTCGTGTTCCCACGCCATACTGTGACCTGCGCCTTACTAGTTAGTCACACATCACGTAAAAGATATCGCCAAGGCTGCCATTCTTATATGCATGACCCTCACTCGAGGCTCTATATCTCACTGGCAAGAAAGGATGAGTGATCTGAGCGAGAGGTGAGGAAAACAAGTCACTTTTGATTTGCCTATCGTGCCAACACCCTACCTACCTACACCATTTGGGAATCGATACGCAGATGGCCACCAACTCCATCCTGTTCTTGCTCGCTCTTGAAGATCAATCCGTAGCTTATCTAGGTCCCTTTGCCGGCCAAAACCTCAGCTGGAGACTTTATCCACTCCCCCAAAGTCACGACTTATAGTACAAGAAAAACCAACAAACAAAACGCCTCATCATGATGCCTCTCGAATTCCACTAACAACTTTCCGGCTCAAATGCCAAGTGATCTCTTGACGATGAGTGCAACGGATCATACAACCTTACGCTGTCTCCGTCGAGTCAGCTGAGCTGTCTGTATCAAATGAGCTCATGCTGTCCGAACGCTCTGCCTTGGGCAGAGGCTCTGTCTCTTTCTCCAGTTCCGATGGGTCTGAGATACTACGCTGTCTCTCTGTTCGATTTTCGTCACCCGAAGATGCGTTTTCCTCATCCTCGTCGACATCTTCGTCGTCAGATCCGCTATCGCTGTCTTCGTCAAAGACAATTCTTCTGAGGACGTTTTTGTCAAACATCTCGAGAACCATGCGTCTAATAGGCAGGCGGTAGTGATTGTATTCAAGCATCGTCATGACGCGCCTGAACATTTTGGGACATCTAAAGCCTGCCACCTTGTGCTGCCTGATCTGCATCAGTTCACCCATTGCCCGCTTGTACAGAACCATGTTGCCGAGATCGACAACGAGATCCAGGATGCGTTGGTTGATGGCCTCTTCGTTGGTGAAGGCCGGCAGCTCTTCCTTCTCTAGAGGCGGACGCGCTTCTGTTGGTGGCGGCGGGGTCAAAAAGGTCTTTTGCGTATCTGGCAATGCAATCTTGGAGGCAATAGCGTGCTTCCAGGGTTTGAACGAGAAGAATTTGGATAGGTTATTGGGAATGCAGAATCCCATCGACTCTCCTCGCGGTGAAAGATTTGCATCCCATCCACATTCTGACAGGATCTCAAGACCGTGGGCGGATCGAGACACTAGTCCCAGGACGAAGAAGGCGGTGCCACGCAGACTCATCACCTCATGTTCTTCAGCAATCTTGACAATGTCTTCGATAACATCGCATGATTCGATAAAAGGGGCACCGAGCTCCATTGATCCCACGTTGCCGACAGCCCACATGGAGGCCTTGACCTTTAGCATGAGCTCGGGATCTTCCGACTGCATGCCGTATTCTTTGATCGTGCTGGCAAACTCAGCAAAGTGTCCCTTGTCGCTCAGTAACTTGCATCCCTCCTGAGTGCGTGCAAGCTCGCGATAGAAGTGCGGTGGAATGTGATTCTCTGGCTCGGTATCTGCTTGAGCTTCTTCCACCATGTTGATGCGGTTCTGGTGCTCTTCTGGATTCTCTAGGAATGCTTTGGCCAGGCTGGTTTCAATCACACCAACGTATGAGTCGTTTCGACCGAGGAACCAGTCATCCATCTCATTGCTGATGTAGTCAACGCCGTCGAGGTAGTGGTAGCCAATGGACGAAGACAGGAACCGCAGTAGGAGAGGAGCACCGATCTCTCCCAAGTGGTCCATTGTCGGACGACACTGGACGACATACTCCAGATATGCTTTCTTATTGCATGCCTTCTCGAGGATCTTAACTGCGGTTCGGCAGACCTCTACCTCGGGGTCGTATAGTTGGTCGCAAAGCTTCTCGATGGCCCACTTCCAGTCGATCTTGCCGTGGGATGGTTGGGATGCATCGAATGGTCGAGTGGCGTACTTCCGCAGCGCGTTCGTCGCCGTGATGCGAATCTCCCTCGTTCCAGACGTAAGAGCCTGTTCTATAAGCACCCGTGGGTGTCCCGGGATGCTGTAGTCAAAGTTTGAGAGAAGTAGTTTGATCAAGTCAGGGCGCTGCTTGTGCCCGAGAATGTGGTACATCATGTTGAACATTCTCCAGCGTTGTAGAAGCTCCAAGCCTCTGGGATCACCACTTAGGACTCCAAGCATGGGGAAGTATCCTGCGCAAAGTGTGCTTTGCAAGCGACCAGGGGAGAACATTGGATCCGTGGATGTCAATCCGCTGCTCTGCATCGTTTGTTAGTGTCTTGATAAGGTTGCCAAGGATGTGTATCTTTGCTTACCGGGTCACATTGAGCGAGGCACTCAGCTATCTGCCGTAACATCTTATGATCTTGCAAGTACTGAAAGCCCTCATTTGACTGAAGCAGAGTGTGCATCAGTGTGCATCCGACCCTGACGTACTTTTGAGAATTCTTATTGCTTGTAAGATCCGAAAACCTGTGCTTAAAAGGCCGGTAGAAGCTCATGATCCTGTTCATAAACTTGGACACCCTGTTGACCTCGTCTAGTCGCTTTCCATCTTGAAGCGGCCCTTCGATGATTCGCGAGATAACATCCCAGTTCCATTTCAAGTAGTTGGAGCTGTTCAGGACATTAGACTCCACCAAAAGCTGCCGGATTGCGCCCTCTTGAACCACAATCCCGGCGTTGCTTTTACGGTGCATGTCTGCGAGGTTGTCGCTGGAGGGGAGAGTTCCAGCAGTCGCGATAGACGGCGTGCTCCTATACAGCGTCTTGCTCACTGAGCTAATCTGATAAACTATGCCCGAGGCAACGAATCTGTTGTCGTCTTTGAACTGAGTCGCCGCAGCGAAGAGCTCCGGAAGCAGAGGTAAGTCGTTGCTCCACGTCGCGGGGAGGAGCCTGCTTGCCAGCTTCAGCACCTCGCCAATCAGGAGACACGTCTTTCTGGAGAGCTGAGGGTCACTGGTCCTGGCAACTTGGAGCAAGTTTTCCAATAGACCAGCTTTGACAAATGTAGCCAGAAGCAGGGCAGTGTAGTGATCCATGAAGTTTTGCTCTCCACTATCTTCCTCCACGGGCAGAGCATTGGCCGAGGGCGTCTGGTTCGGAACTGATTTGAGGCTCGCTACCCGTCCATATGTCGTTAGGCGGCGACCAGCTAGGAAGGAAGAAGCCCACGAGGGCGACTTGATCCGGAGAAGAAGGTAAATGAGATCGATTACTGTCTCTCGGATGGTTGCTTGCGGAAGCACCATGCTAGTGAGCAGCGACTTGATGGCTCGAGAGTCATGCATAGTCAGCATCATCAACCCAGGCCAACTCTTCAGGATCTTGGTGATTGCCTTGGCGTTCTGCTTCAGTAGGCTCTCATTTGCGAGGATGATATCTGTGAATGCCGTGAAGAGAACCTCCAGATCATAACCGGAGCGCAAGTAGATTCTCTTTTGTGGGTTATCCAAGATCTGCATATAAGACGCCGTAAGAGATTCGGGCGATTTATATGTTCCTTCGATCAAAGCCTCAGAGAGCGGTGAAAGGCCGCCAGAAGCGACTGCCAGGGCCGGGTCACGAAGCATAACCTCAGCAAGTGTTTCCAAGCAGATGGAGCGTAGACGATCTTCAGCCTGCTCTGCAACAGCGGCTATAGTCCTCACAACAGCGCGTGAAAGCTCTTTGACTCCATCCTTGACATCCAAAAAGGCCCGAACGAACTTCAAGGCCTGTTCACGCTCCAGATCTGCTTTTCGGTCTTTGATCAAAGATCTACGGTTTGTTAGCTGTGGCTCGCAGTCTTGTCAATTGTAGAAACATGGCCAAACTCACGTCACAACAATGATGTCAGTATTCAGACTGCGGATCTTCTTTAAAGAAGACACATCTGAGATGGCATAGCGAATCATTCGGTAACCAGCTGCCACTACTTCTCTGGCCTCACTGAGCAGCATTACTTGCATGCGAAGACCGAACACCGACCATACCAGGTCATACTTGAGAGTTGGATGCCGCCTGAACAGATCAACTAGACTGTTTCCTCGACTGACATAGTACTCTGGCGGCATGCCTTCTTGCTCAAGAGCTTGTAGCAACTCAGCCAGGAGAAAGGTCGGTGACTGCTCAGCCGTCTCTTCATTGTCTGAACCAGCGCCACTGCGAGAGGCGCTAGGAGGTGAGCGCATGCCATTGTTGGCAGAAGAGAACAGTGGCTCGTTTGTCCTTTGTCTTGTGGGTGTGGTTGGAGTCGCCTTGAATCTCGAGGCATCTGTAATCTTCTGCCGTAGATTCTTGATGCGCTGGTTGGAGGCATTCAGCTCTGCTTCGACCTTGGCCCTCTGTTCCTTGGTTTGTTTTGCCTTCTTGGCGTTCAAGGCTTCCAGCATGTTCTCACTTCCGTCCTTGATCTTCATCTCTCGATTCAGCTGCTCCTTGAGAATAGCTAGGGTCTGCTCTGCAGCCGTGGCGGGATCTTCCTCGTCGACCTTATCGATGCTGTAGATGTCGCCTCGGGAGCCAGAGCGAGATGGCATCATCTGGCTGCGCAGCTCAGAACTAAAGCTCCCAGGGGCGATGGAGGGGTTGAGGGAAGAGCCTCGGGGTCCGAAGCTGACGCCCGAGGCGCCCAGACTTCTCGATCCATTGACAGAGGCGGATGGCGGCTGAAGGCCGCCGGTGCTCTCTATGCGCTCGAAACTCGGACGTGGATTGAGGGTATTGGCGCTCGATGCCGACTGTTGAGGCGAGAGTGCCTTTTGAGACTGTCCGGAGGCGCTCAGCATCTTGGCGATGCCTCTCTATGTTACCACCTTGCTACGGGGCTTCTCCGGAGGTTCTGGCATTCGGGCGACTGTTATTTCAATACTGCTCTGTTTTTAGGAATTCGTTATCAGGGTGTCAGGGGGTTGGTGGTCGTAGTCGGGGTTCGTCCGCGTGGAGTAAAGGACTGTCGTCGATCGCTTGAATGAGGCTCTGTCGCGGTAGGTGGGTAACGAGGTTCGAATCGAGGTTCGGACAATTCTTCAAATTGAAGGCGGTCGAAATATGGCGCGAGAGGTACGGAGGAGAAGGTGAATGTTCGAGTCGCAGGCTGTTGGGCGCGCAAATGGGCGAAGTTGGTCGGCCACCCGCAGAGCCACGCCAAGAGCAGGGCAGGACGTCAGTCCGAGTGGAGATGCGATGTGAGTCTAATGCTGAGGATATGCGATTGGCGCATCAGAAAGGGTTGATCGTTTGGATCTTTCGCAGGTTCCAGCCGTGGAAGACGGTCCCGATAACAGTGTCGCTTGAGGTCGGGCGAGATATCTGTGCCCTTGGGTTGTCTGTGATGGATGATTAGTTCTGGTGGAAGCAGTCGTCGCTGTTGTCGTTGTCTCGACTGTTGCGTGGTGCTGCGGCGTTCCAGCCGAGTGCTCGTTCGCGGCCCACAGTTGACGGTGAAGTACCTACTGTGTAAGGTAGGTACTGCGCAGTGCGTACTTGGTCGCCGGATACCAACTGAGCCTGGTCTTCAGAGCTTCAGGAGTGGGCCTGGATGCGCATGGGTTGCTGTCGCGGGCGGGCTGTAGAGGTGTGGTTGCTGCCAATGCCACCTGTGGACCGCAGAAGGCGCTGATACTGGTGTCTGAGGTGGGTGTTGTTCAGGGGTGATTTCTCAGGGTGGTGCAGTGTCACGGCCACAGCTGCAGCGAAGTTGCGAGGTTCTCCTCTGTTCAAGCTCTCCAGTGCACCTCTGACTCTCAGGATGGGGTAAGCAGCGTCTGCGTCAGTTCGCCTTTGAAAGTATCTTACTTGCCCTACGATGAGGTAAATTAAGGTGAAGAAAGGTGAGAGAAAAGAGAAATCTTGAGGTATGACTTTGGGGTTGTCAAGGTAGGTAGGAAGGAATAGGGAGATACGGTAGGTAGGCTGTTTCTTGAAAGTACTTTCCAGCTCAAGTGTGTACGGATTTGGCAGCCCCAAGCCCATTGTTCGGGTTCAGATTGTTGGAGTCGGACCTCGTTCATGCACACACACAGCCAAGTCCATTTTACCTCATTCATCATCCATCTTCAATGCTGATGTTAATCAACTTGAGATCACGTGTACAAAACAACTTAGCTTCGGCCTGTCTATCTCATCTTCAAGCATTTATATCCGAGGATCTGGAAAGAACTGATGATGAAATCTTACTTGCCCTCTCGGTGCGCTCTTTCTCCTTCGGCTCCTTCTGCTGCTGCTGGGCTATTGCTGCATGCGCCGTAACGCGGAAGGAAGCAGCCTTCCTTCAGTAGCCCCGCTTCCTGGTCGCTTCACCCCTCACCGAAAGCTTGGACCACGTCTGTCTCCCCTTTGGTGACCTTGGAAGACGTCGAGTACAAATACTTGCTCAGATAGGGCACCATGCCTCCTTATGCTTGGCTCGGACGGTAAGAGGACTGCCTGAGAAGCCAATGGGGACGTTGCCGTCAGCTGCAGCAGTCTCTATTTCGAGCTACATTCTAGCGTTACGTCTGCTGAAGGGGTACATCGTCATGGATAAGGTAGGCATCTTGTCGATAAGCCCTAGATAAGGCACGAAACCTTGACCCCATTATCTGTACAGATACAGTAGGGTGTCAAAAGTTCGTGTACACCCTCCCAGTGCGTCACCTATAGCCCACTAACTACGTCTCTTTATTATTGTAAATATCTTTTTAACTTAGGTATAAATAATATAATTTAAAATTTTAATAAAATATTTAAGTATATAAAGCACATAAAACTATTTTTTATATATTTTAAAATACGTTATATTAGTACTTTATAATATAATATAAAAGTAGAATATAAAGTAAAATAGATTTTACTATGGGGTACAGTGCTATTCGTACTTAAAAGGCCCTATAATCCACTATAATAAAAATCTCTCAAAACCTATTTCTAAAAAGATTTATTTAAAGCTTTTATAATTAAGAAAAACATAGTGCAACTTAAATATATACTAATATAATAGCTAATTAGTTATATAGTAATTTTTAATTTCTTTTTCTTATTATATTTAACTTTTTATTCGCTGTTGAAAAGTAGTACTTTTGCGGGATACTGTGCGCTGCACACGAACCTTTGACACCCCACTGTACAGGTGCAGCTCTTGGCACCACTCGGTTCCACCTTGACGCTCAACGATCAACGACCATCGACCTCCAATAACGTACAAGAATAATCGCCTTAGGTAGATCACGATAGCTTGGACAGCCTCATATTTTTCGTCAGCCTAACCTCCGATATGGTACGTGTTACTTCAGCTGAAGATCTTCATCGTGGTTAGGTAAAGTGCAGTCGACGATGGCTTCAATCGATGAACCAGCTTCTATTCAAAGGAACCTGAAAAGACGGGCAGTCAACTTCGGGCGAGCCCATATCCGTACCTTTTTTGTATTGCATAGAGAGAAAAAAGGTGCTCGTGAACGCTCATCATGGACCATCCTACCGAGGAAATTCCTTGCCGTCTGAAGCTGCTTGTGCCACAGCATCAACTGCCACTACCAATGCTGAAACGCGGCCGGCTCCCCCATCCGCAGTCATTCGATGCCTCGGAGACACCCACCTCTATCCGTGTCAAGCAGACTTGCTGGTAGCAAGTACTGGTGGCGGGAGATAGGAACCAACGCCGAGGATTGAGACAACAGCTGCCAAAGAGTTCCCATCATCCACACAGCAAACATGATGGACAGAAATGATTCTGTCAGAATCAGTCACCCACTACGGGATTTGCATCTTCGGCCTTTCGGTCTAATATCCACAGTCCCGAAATGGCGGGGCCCCCGGTTCCTTCGCGCGCCCGTCCTTGACCAAACCCTCACCTCACCTCACCTCACCTCATCTCACTTCACCTTGACCTCACATCAGGTCGGAGAGCGGCGGCACAGGGACGGGCTTTGAGAGAAACGGCTTGCATGATGTGTGGATTTCTTGGTGTTCCCATGTTGGTTGTGAAGCGTTCATGTACATTCTTCATCATTGTATGAAATATTGACCCTTGCGCGGAGCCGGCCACTGGAGGTCCAGCAGCCAAGATACATCACGAGCATCTGCGGCTCTGTAAGATCCTTTGATCTCATCGAGTCTTCATTGGCCCCGTAGAGACGGACCCTGGAAAGAAAAAGTGCAAAATCAACTACCGCCTGCGGTAGCTAAGGTAGTCACGGCAGAACTTGCCGCCTCTCGTCTTGTTTCTTCTTTTTTTCAGAGCCCTAGAGGCTAGAGGCGTTTGCTTCGTGGAGCTGAGGTACCTCGCCTTACCAAATAGCATGTACGGCCCAGAGCGTCTCTCGTCGGTCCCGCCCTGGCGCAGACAGCCGTAGGGAGACAGCGGCTGCATGCGGCGACTTGCCTGCCCAGCGTCCAAAGGGCATCGGCGGGCTCCGGGGGATCCACCCAGCTCCAATAAGACCATTCTACCCCACGGCAGCCGGACCCTATCAAGCGATCGGGCCAGTTCGGCCAGGCCATTGGGCCCTTACCTACCTACCCCCGACCCGCGGGGCCACCCTTACACAGTACGTACATCCCAGCACCCAATACAAGCAGAAGCTTTCATGCTTGCACAGCGCAGGCATTGCGTGCCGATTCAAGACGCGACTACGCTATCTGTGCTGCTTGCTGGTGTATCTCCGGCCCGGCTCTTGTCTCTGTGGTGGGTGACGTCCAACGAAGCTAATCTGAGAGCGAGAACCTCAACCAATTTCTTCTCTTGGATGTTGATATAAAACCTATCGTCCCCCCTCTGGCCTCTTCTCTTGTGACCTTGCTCTTGTCCTCTGTCTCATCATCAACCAACACCCACCTCCTTATCAGTGCTTGCTTGCGGTCTCTCTTGAGCTTGAACCACTTAGCACCTTGCTCTCATCCTCGACCCTCATCTCACAACGACATCTCATCTTATCTCGTCTTTGCGATACCAGCAATCTCATCCGCGATACCCCAAACGCCCTACATTTTGTTCGCTTTCCCCCCATTCTCAACCCTCGCAAAGCCACACACGAACACACACACACACACACACACACACATTCACAATGGCAGCCTACCTCGCCTCCGCCCGCTACGGCAAGGACAACGTCCGCGTCTACAAGGTCGAGAAGAACGGCAACGTCCAGACCGTCACCGAGATGACTGTCTGCTGCCTCCTCGAGGGCGAGATCGAGACCTCGTACACAGTCGCCGACAACAGCGTCGTCGTCGCCACCGACTCCATCAAGAACACCACCTACATCAAGGCCAAGGAGAACCCCGTCAACCCCCCGGAGCTCTTCGCCTCCATCCTCGGCGCCCACTTCCTCGAGACCTACGCCCACATCCACACCGCCAACGTCAAAATCATCCAGCACCGCTGGACCCGCATGACCGTCGACGGCAAGCCGCACCCGCACTCCTTCTTCCGCGACGGCGAGGAGACCCGCAACGTCGAGGCCCGCATCTCCCGCAAGGACGGCATCGCCCTCACCAGCGCCATCCAGAAGCTCACCGTCCTGAAGTCCACCGGCTCCGCCTTCCACGGCTTCGTCCGCGACGAGTACACCACCCTCCCCGAGACCTGGGACCGCATCCTGTCCACCGACGTCGACGCCGCCTGGACCTGGAAGTTCCCGGACCTGGCCGCCGTCCGCGCCGCCGTGCCCAAATTCGACCCCGCGTGGCGCGCCGCCCGCGACATCACCATGAAGACCTTTGCCGAGGACGAGAGCGCCAGCGTGCAAAACACAATGTACAAGATGTGCGAGCAGATCCTCGCCGCCGTGCCCGAGACCCTGACCGCCACCTACTCCCTGCCCAACAAGCACTACTTTGAGATCGACCTCAGCTGGCACAAGGGGCTCAAGAACACGGGCAAGGACGCCGAGGTCTACGCGCCGCAGTCTGGCCCCAACGGCCTCATCAAGTGCGAGGTCGCCCGCAAGCCCGAAACCGCCAAGTTGTAGGCGCGAGCGAGCTTTGGGTGAGTTGGCCTGTGGGTCGAGTGAGTGAGATAAGGGGCTGTAGACTGAGGATGAGAGAAGATGCTTTCCTATGAGAATCCAGTGAGATTCGCCACTTGCATTTACCGGCGTCCATGACCTGGTCAAGCCTGGCCGGGTGTTCTTTTATAGTAATAATGAGCAATGACTAAGAATATGATAACCCATCAAGTTTGTTGTCCTTGAGAGAATTCCTGTGACTCGAGTGATACCGTCGTTTGGCTTTGGAACTGATCTCAGAATATGGGCAAGACGGAGAGCTTTGATGAAGCCACCCATGATACCATGTACGGGTTTCCAGAAAGGGCGTGGTGCTTCTCAATGGTGTTCCCCATTCTGCGACCTGTCCCGCAGTTGACACATATACTCGAACTGCTACTTGATTTTAAGATTCATTTGAGACAGGTGTCGTGAGGAGCGTTTTCCTTTTTTCTTCAAGCTGAAAAATTGGAAAAGGCCGTCAGCGTATCCATCAAGCTTTCACACGTATTGCGATATTTAAGAAAAACTTGGCAATTGACTCCAATTAGGAGATAATTTGTAAAAGTGACAATAACTTACAAACTCAGATGTATGTATTCAAGGTATTGGATAAG